CAGAGGTTCTTGTCTATGTGACATGGACCTGCCCAGCCAAACGTAATTATTTTCTTCCTCTACTGCTAGGTCAGGTGATAAATACCCTGAACACCTGGCCCCAGTTCAGCTTGAAGCAGCTATGGAGAATATGTCCTCCCGTGTTCCCTGTTCCCAGGACAGGCTGAAAGACTAGGTCAGGAATTAAAACCCCCTGGCATAGAGGACCGATTGGCTATTTAATGCTCATTGATATTTATTAATTAAAATGACTCTGTAATAAGATAAGACACTTGACCTTTATGCAGAATCAGAGAGATATTGTATAATCTTAAAAAGTAATTATTTCTGTATAAATCATTCAGGATTATAATCTGGTTGTACTCAAAGGTTAGTCCCCCAGCCTTGCTAACTTCATTAAGCTGTAACTAACTGGGAAACCTCTATATTCAGCTTTAAGCCATATATATATGCTCTCAAAGTTATAAATACATCTAACAGATTTTCTTCTCCCAGTCCTCAAATACCTGTAGAGATCTGAGAATATGGCATTTAATAGGAAAGCTTTTTATGATAAAGAGACATGTCAGCTCCTGGCAGCAGCATCCTGTATCTTCTCCCAAGAAGACAGATGGCCACAGAACCTTCACCTGGAAGCTTAAGGCAAGACCAGCCATGCAGCAAAAAGCTGAGATCCTGTCCAGACTGTGAATTACTGGAGCAATGGAGATCGACTGTCCCCTGTGCCAAGACAGGTAGGTTGATCTCTCTAAATTCCTACTCCACAGAAAAATCTGTCAGATCTTCTGGGCCTACCACCTGAACAAATGCTTCCTTTGGGGCTCCTGCCCCCACCCCCACCCCCACCCCAACCACAGAGAGACTTGGGATTGCTACCTAGGCAGCTGGAAAGCTGTCTCACTTCTTAAATTTATCCTTCTCAGACCTGATGATGTTTGATGACCAGGGTATCAGTTTGACAGCCCCAATCCCAAGATTACTGACAGTTCATTAATAAGTTTCCTATTGAAACTACAGACAGCTATGCCTCATTCACGGACTTCATGGTACAGGAGAGATGGTTTTCAAATATAACTCCAGACATTCAAATTTTAATATTGATAAATGCAGCTTTGATAAACTGATACAACATTGACTATAAACAGTTCTTTTTTTTTTTTTTTTTTTTTTTGGTTTTTCGAGACAGGGTTTCTCTGCGTAGCTTTGCACCTTTCCTGGGACTCACTTGGTAGCCCAGGCTGGCCTCGAACTCACAGAGATCCTCCTGGCTCTGCCTCCCGAGTGCTGGGATTAAAGGCGTGCGCCACCACCGCCCGGCTGCGACTATAAACAGTTCTTAAGAGTCCTTACATTTCTATGGATTTTCAGCCCTTTTGCTATGATGTAAATCTATTCCAGCTGTCTTACAGATACTTACAGGTCCCTGTCAAAAGTTCTACTACTGCATCAAAAAAATCTGGTCTGATGAAAACAGTCTACAGGGCCCATTCTGACCTCATCCATTTTTGAGAATATTTTGCAGTTTCCCTACTTCTGCCTGGGCCAAGGGGCTTTCCAGATACGCCAGCCCGTGCACCAGCTGGTACCAGCTCTGAGGATGCCAACCCCCAACTGAGGATGCCAACTGGGATGGATGCACCCCAACATCCAGAGAAATGGCCAGATGGGATGGCTCCTACAATCCTGAAGAACACATCCTGTGGTGATATGTTGTGTCCTCCAATATATTGTGCACCCTAATAAACTTATCTGGGGTCAGAGGACAGAACAGCCACTAGATAGACATAGAGGCCAGAAAATGGTGGCACACACACCTTTAATCCTAGCATTCTGGAGGCAGAGATCCGGATGAATCCAGTTTAAAGCCATACTGGAAACAGCCAGGCATGGTGACACATGCCTTTAATCCCAGGAAGTGATGGCAGGAAGCAGAAAGGTATATGAGGTGTGAGGACCAGGAACTAGAGCCTGGTTAAGCTTTTTAGGTGAGATCCATTTAGCTGAGATCCATTTGGATGAGGACACAGAGGCTTCCAGTCTGAGGAAACAGGATTGGCTGAGAAGTTGGCGAGGTGAGGTTAGCTGTGGCTGGTTCTGTCTCTCTGATCTTTCAGTGTTCACCCCAATACTTGGCCCCTGGGTTTGTTTATTAATAAGACTTTTTAATATTCATGCTACAACATCCCTCATTTCACTGCTGGTACCACCTCTCCAGGCTCAGGCAGGCATCTGCCTAGCAACTGGAACCTGCCTTTCCAAGATGTCCCAATGAAGGACATACCTGCTCTCATGTCTTATTCATTCATGATAACCATCTACTTTTTTCCTCCTAGTAACCTGCCCTCTCAGCACATTCAAAAGAAGATGCCCGAGATCTCTACCATGACAGCTAACTGGATGCTTCTCCAGCCACACCTCCTGCCATGAGTAACTCCAGGGTTCCTCCCGCCCCACTTTGCCCCTTTCCAGCTTGAAGTAGTCTCAAGAATCCAGTGCCCTTGTCCTCCTACTTGCTCTCATAACCCGCCTCTTTTTATAATAATCAAAATGGAGAAATGTTAATATTCTGATCCTGCCCCTTAGGGCCATCCTGTCCTGATGTAAAAGTCTCTTTTTAAGAAAAAACTCCCCCCATTTCTCTCCTCCTCTTCTTCACTCCCATGAGGTATGCGCCCCTCAGCCCCCCTCTGTCTTTCTCCCTCTTTCTGTCTATCTGCCTATTTATCTATCTATTATAATAAACTTTCCATGTGGATGCATTGTATGGGTTGTGTATCACTGGCGGCTGCTGCCGCCATGCCCTGCATGGCATGTATATCTGCCCAGCCCAAGGCTGCATCTGCCCAGCAAGTTTCCCTGCATGCTCGAGATACCCTCGGGGCTTTCCCCCACACCCCGAGTAATAATTCCTAACATAGGTCACTGTATGAAGTGTGTAAGAGAATGTCCTTGTTTTTGACAATACACACAAAAGTTGCTAGCGGCAAAAGGAACAGTTGCTTTATAAGCCTCCTAAGAACTCAATTTCAGTGGTTCAGGAAAAAAAAATATATTCATGCTTGTGCACACACAAAGGAACAAATGAATGAATCCACCATAGAGAGAATTGTGTAAGATGTGAGTAATCTGTGAGTCTGATGGATATATGATAATTCCTCAAACTATTCAGCAAGGGATTGTAATTTTTTTTTTAACTGCATGGCCAGGGCTCAAGCCTTTTGCTAGCTAGCTCTTATATCTTAAATCAGCCCATAACTATTAATCTATATATTGTCACATGTTCCGTGGCTTTACCTGTGTCCCATTACATGTTGCTCCTTGTTGGACGGCTCGCGGGCGGCTCTGGATTGTAAATTTTAATATGTCAAAACAAATCCTTTAAAGGTTGATCACCAGGATATATATGTACATGTACTAGGCAGGGCCTGCATGTATATATGTGCAGTAAGTGTGTGCATTCACCAGCTGCATGGGAGGTCATTCTATTTGTGAGAGTAGAAAAAAAAATGAGAGTCTTGACTATTAAGTTTGAAATGTGGTGGTGTGTGGTTCCCTGTACTCTAAACACCTGGGAGCAGGAGGCAGGAGGATGGCCAAGAGTGTGAGGATGGCCCAGTTTACATACTGAGTTCTAGGCCGGCTGGAGGCTCAGCCAAGATTTTTATTGAAAAACTACTACACAAAACAACCAAACATGGTGGGCGGCGGTGTGGCACACGCCTTTAATCCCAGCACTCGGGAGGCAGAGGCAGGCGGATCTCTGTGAGTTCGAGGCCAGCCTGGGCTACCAAGTGAGTCCCAGGAAAGGCGCAAAGCTACACAGAGAAACCCTGTCTCGAAAAACCAAAAAAAAAAAAGAAAAAACAAAAACAAACAGACAAACAAACAAAAACAACCAAACAAAAAGACATTGTTTAGGGCTGGAGAGATGGCTCAGCGGTTAAGAGCACTGACTATTCTTCCAAAGGTCCTGAGTTCAATTCCCAGCACCCACAAGGCAGCTCACAACTGTCTGTAACTCCAGTTCCAGGGCATCTGACACCTTCACACCAATGCACACAAAATAAAGTTAAATAAATTATTTTTTAAAAAATAGAAAAAAGCTTGAAATAGCATCCTTTTATTTGTTTAGGTTTTTTGGGGGGGAGGGGGGGAACGACAGGATTTCACTGTATTGCCTAGTCTGCCTTTGAACTGCTTTAAACCAAGTGCTGGGATTGCAGGTAAGTATCAAGACACACAGCTGGGACAGTCTGTTGATGTATATTATATATCCAGGCTGGCCTCAAACTCACGACAATTCTCCTGCCTCAGTCTTTCAAATTCAGGCTTGCAACACCCTGCCCTGTGTGATTATCTGCATACTCTGGAGTTAATTAACTGTCACGTTTTTCCATTGACTTATTTTTCGTTTAATTCCAAACCCGTTGACAATTGCTTAAACCGCCCTTCAAAAGCGCTGCGCCGACTGTGGGAAAGCCAATCCCAGGCTGTGGGAGTGAACGCTGGAGGGGCTGGAGTCGCTTTCCACCCTACCGTCAACTCAAGACCAGTTCTGCATGAGACCTCGTCCAAGGAAAACAATAAACAAATAAATAAATGAGAGATTAAGGGCCGGAGATGTAGCTCGGTACCTGCCCAGCGCAGGCGACAGAAGGAAAGAGGGAAAGGAAGAAAGAAGAGGGAGGAAGTGAAGGAGGAGGAAGAGGGGGAGGGAAGGAAGAAAAAAGAAGAGGGGGGAAAAAAGGAAAAAAAAAAAAAAAAGACTCCAATCTAGGAGTCAGGAGAAAGCAGAGTGCAGTGAGTAAGACACTGCTTGCCTCATCAACGCGAGGTCTGCCAGAGAGCACCCAGCTCCAGTGAATGCCATCTGACACTTTGCAGAGGCGGCTGGCTCTGTGCAAAAAGAATTGCCGCAATTTTCCAAGCGCAGCCGAGAGCATAATAACTTTATTGTGCCGCTTGTTTACTTCCTAATGGCAAGTTCATTCTCACTGGGCCTTCTTCAAGCCCTGGTGTCTAGACAGAGAAGAAAATTCCATCTAGAGACCTGGAACAGAGAGAGAAGTGACAATTTAATAGCTACCCCAGACCTGATGTCGGGGGACCATTGTCACCGGAAGGAAAGGATCTATTTCCTTAGTCACCAAGCTCTGTGTGTGTGGTGTGTCTGTGTGTGTGTGTGTGTGTGTGTGTTTTCTCTCTCTCTCCTGCCTTCTCTCTTCATCCATTATTATGTGGGTTCTGGGGATCAAACTCAGGTCTCCAGCTTGCCGTCCAGTCCCCCACCAGTAGAGTCTTTACCTCCACAGACGGCAATGACATTGAACACTTTTGTGTCACCTCTTCTCAAGGACTGGGAATACAGGTATGCAACATCACACCCAGTTTTATGACATTCTGGAAATCTAACCTAGGGCACTGTATATGTTAGCCAAGCACCCTACCCACAAGGCTATAACCCCAGCCCTTCTTTTTTTTTTTTTTTTTTTATTAAGAGATTTTCTATTCATTTTACATACCAACCACAGATTCCCCTGTCCTCCCTCCTCCTGCTTCCCCCCAGTCCCCCCTCCAAAGCTCCCCCATTCCCACCTCCTCCAAGGCAAGGTCTCCCATGGGTCAACAGAGCCTGGTACATTCAGCTGAGGCAGGTCCAAGCCCCTCCTCCCTGCACCAAGGCTGTACAAAGTGTCCCACCATAGGCACTAGGCTCCAAAAAGCCGGCTCATGCACTAGGAACAGGTCCCGATCCCACTGCCTGGGGGCCCCCTAAACAGTTCAAGCTAAACAACTGTCTCACTTATCCAGAGGGCCTAGCCCAGTACCATGGGGGCTCCTCAGCTACTGGTCCACAGTTCATGTGTCTCCATTAGTTTGGCTGGTTGTCTCTGTACTTTTTCCAGTCATGGTCTTGGCTTATATAATCCCTCCTCTCTCTTGTCGATTGGACTCCTGGAGCTCTGCCTGGGACCCGGCCGTGGATCTCTGCATCTGCTTCCATCAGTCACTGGATGAGGGCTCTGTGATGACAGGATATTCAGCCACCCCATCACCAGAGTAGGCCAGTTCAGGCACCCTCTCGACCATTGCCAGGAGTCTATGGTGGAGTCCTCTTTATGCATTCCTGGGAACCTCCCTAGCACTCTGCTTCTCCCTACCCCAATGGTGTCTTCATTTATCATGGTATCTCTTTCCTTGTTCTCCCACTCTGATCCTGTTCCAGCTCGAACCTCCCGCTCCCCTAGGCTCTCATTCCCCCGTCTCTTGCCCTCTATTACTCCCCTTGACCCCCCAGTTTGCTCATGTAAACTCAGAAGAACAAATATAGTATGTACTCACTCATAAGTGGATACTAGATGTAAAGCAAGGGATAACCAGACTGCAACCCACAGCTCCAGGGAGGCTAGCTAGTAAGAAGGACCCTAGGAAAGACGCAAGGATCGCCCAGGCCTTCTTTACCGTTAAGAACTGTAGATTCCCTGTGAATTCCATGGGCTCTGATTCATGAAGGGCCCCACAGGCTCATTTCCAGCTTAGCTCTGTTAGGACTGTTTGGCTTTCACTGGGTCTGCCTTAGTGGTTTGCCGTGGGGTTCTGGATTGTCTCCTTGTGGCAACAGTACCAATGGGCACCTGCTGCCACCCCCAGAAGCTGCTTGATGACTCCTTTTCCATCTCTGGCCAAATTGATAGCCTGGCTCTGCAAGCATTACCACACACAGCTGTGAGCTGTTCCCCTCGGGGCTGGCTTCGCAAGCAGAGTGGTTTTCCCCACTGAAGTCGGCAGTACGGAAAAGCCCCTTGGGCTCTTTATTCGCCTAGAATCCCTGAGAGCCACTGGACTTTAACGCACGTGCATTTCTCAGGCTTTGTGTTTCTCTTCAGTTATTGGAACTTCGGAGGTTTCTGGTGGAATCTGTAAAGAAAAGAGCCAAGACATGTATCTCTAGCTGGCCAATAAGCACGTTTAAATTTTTAGAAACAAAAATAAATTCAATTTCATTGCCATGTTGCACACACGCGCGCACACACACATTAATTTCAAGGGTTGGAAGGACACACGCCATGGCACACATGCAGAGGTCAAAGGACAACTTGCAGGAGTAGGGTTCTCTCCTTCTACCAGATGGGTCCCAGGGGCCAAACTCGGGTTGTCAGGCTTGCCAGCAAGCACCTTTACCTGCTGAACCAGTGATTCTCAACCTTCCTAATGCTGACACTCTTTAAAACAGTTCACGTTGTGGTGATCCCAACCATAAAGTTGCTACTTCATAACTGTCATTTTGCTATTGTGATGTCAACATCTGACATTTCTGTTGGGTCTTAGACGACCCCTGGGAAAGGGCCAGTTGACCTGGGAGTCGTGGGACCCACAGGTTGAGAACCAATATGCTAAACCATATCCTGTAGCGATAACCACCATCCGTTCACCATGTCCGAGCGAGGTGCTGTGGATTAAAAAATAGAGACAAGAGACAGCGAGTCATTCACCATGGCTGAATGCCGAATGCTGTTTATTGAAAGAGGGAGGAAACCTTAAATACAGGCTTACAGCACAATGGAGGATCCCCGGAGGGCAGAAGTTCCCTACCGAACATTCTTGCATCTAACCTGTTTACACCAAATGCAGGATACAGGAACAAAAAACCTCTGGTGATCTCTCCAGGGATCTTTAGGTGAAAAGGAAACCGGCAGGGAATCTGAATAGGGAGGACATCTAGTCAAGGTCAGCAAGCAAGGTGGCAGCCACTCACAGTGGGGGTCCAGGGCCCACAATTTCCCAAGCCCAGGGCTCAGTGTCATAAAGTGCTTGATACATTTGTTGTGCAAGAAAGAGTGAGGAGCTGAGCTCAGATCCCCCACACCCATGTAAGAGCCAGGCTCCCAGAGAAGCAGCTGTAACTCTAGCACCCAGAGAGAGGTGGCAATTAGATCCTTGGAGGCTTGCTGGCCAGCCAGACCAACTGAGAACAGCCAGCTCCAGATTCAGTGAGAGATTGTCTCCAAAAGGATGTGGAGAACAGCCGGAGGGGGATGCCTCAGCTTTGGAACTTCCCCTGCCCAAGGATCTACCGTGGAGAGATGTGCAAACCGCTGGGGCAGCGGACAGCTGTGGAAGCAGAACCCGAGGAAGGCTGACCCAGACAGAGAAAACTGTGGGGGCAGGAAAGGGCAGTAGAGTAAAGGAACGCGGGCAACAGTTTAAGAGTTGGGTGGCTATGGGTGTAATCCTGCTGTGAAGGCTCTTTGTATGCAAATCAGTAACGCCCAGGATTTCAGGCAAAGTGTTTTGCAATCTTCCAGCCCTACCTGGCAAGAATAGTTTACTGGGCACGACTGCATCTCAGCACTGTGCTAAGGGTGCTGATTAACATCAACATTGTTCTTCTATTGGAATTATTTATATGGATTTATACATCAATATGCATGCAGCTTATGAATAAATACTATTGCCCTTAGCCAGCCAGAGTGGAGCACGCCTTTAATCCCAGCACTTGGGAGGCAGAGGCAGATCTCTGAGAGTTTGAGGATAGCCTGGTCTACACAGTGAGTTTCAGGGCAGCCAGAGCTACATAGTAAGACTTTCTCTCTCAAAAAAAAAAAAAAAAAAAAAAAAAAAAGCCCACAGAAAATTACTTCCCTTACTGCTGCATCAAAGTCTTCAGAGGAAGGGTTTTCTGGAGAAAAGAGGAACAGAGGCAGCACTTGGGAGAGGACAAAAAATATTTGCTTCATTGACTATGAAACAAAGAACAAAGGAACAAAAAATTCCCTTAACTGTGCAAGAAAGGTATGATTATGAATGTAGATAGAACCCTTACACACACTAGCATATGTTGACTGGTTCTAGATCTAAGGGGAAGAACTCAGGGGTCTCACTAATAGTATGAGGTTATCTCCACGCTCTTTACAGCGGTTCCTCTTTCTCTAGCTTCACAGATGACTAGCTCACTGGCCTGTCTGTTTATTTAATATCTTTTGAGACAGGGCTCACCACAAAGCCCCAGCTGACACAGGACTCCCTATGTAGACCAGGCTGGCCTTAAATGCACAGACATCCATCCACCTGCCTCTGCTTCCTTTAACCCTAGCACTCAGGAGGCAGAGGCAGACAGATCTCTGTGAGTCCAAGGTCAAGCTTGCTCTATAGGGTAAGTTTTAGGTCAGCAAGGGCTGCATACCGAGATACTTAGACCCAAAGGTGTGCGGGGGAGGGAGGGAAACAGAGTTGGTGGCATACATCTTTAATTCCAGCACTTGAGAGCTTGGGAAAGAGAAGCAGGCAGATCTCTGTAAGTTTAGAACCAGTTTGGTCTACATATTGAGACTCTGTGTTTCAGTAATAAATAAATAGATAGATAAATAAATTAAATAAATAAATAAATGAGAAAGATTATATTAACCTGTGTGACAAGTGTAAATAAATGATACTAACCACATAACCATATCTGGACAAGTTTCCCCCAGTACTGGTTCGTTTTTCATGAATGGAAGAGAAAATAGGACTTCCCTGTTCTTGTCTGAGTTGTAAGCACCCCATCTCCTAAGACTATATGAAACAGTAAGCAAGGAAACCTATCAGCTGTGTGCATTCCTGGGTATCAAAAGTCTCAAGTGTGGTTTCTTGACTTTCTACGATCTTTTAAAAAAAGGTTTACTTAATTTGTGTGCACTACATGTGTGCAGTACCCACAGAGGCCAGAAGAGGGTGCTGGATCTCCCAGAACTGGGGCTGTCAGCCTTAATCACTAAGCTGTCTCTCCAGCCCCATTTTCTCCAGTTGTAGACCAAGGAGAATTTCCTACCTCCATCCAGATAGTTCTGTTTTATTAGTTTTATGTGCATATCTATCACATAACATTTTATTTAAAGATTTGTTTTATTTCTGTGTATACTGGGAACCTAACTCAGGTCCTCTGGAAGAATAGCAAGAGCTCTTAACTACTCAGGCATGTCTCCAGCACCATAAGATGCTGTTTAAAGAAATAATGACATTGTTTGCTCTTTTAAAATGACTTGTAAGGGGCTGGAGAAAGGACTCAGAGGTTAAGAACATTTGCTGTTCTTGCAGAGGACCCAAGTTAGGTCCCCAGCACTCACATGGTATCTCATAACTACCCATAATTCCAGGGAATGAAGACACAGAGGCATCTTAAGAATGAATCTAGCCTATCATGGCTGCAGGGCAGTCCAGCCTCAAAGGACTGAAGCACTCTTCCCTTCACCTATGGCATATTTATTTACTCTTTTTTACAGTTTAGATAGTTAATTTCTATACCTTCAAAGCAACCCAAAAGGAGCTCACAGAGACCAAATGCCAGGTGCAAATTACTTGAATTAACAGGTGCCTCGGTTTTCCGGGTTTCCTGGACCAACTTTTGCATAGGCCTTTGATCCTTGGAGCACTCTCTGATCCTTGACTCTCAAATAAGATTCACATAGGGCGATAAGAGAAACAAAAGGTAAGAGAAACAAAAGGTGTGGCTAAACAAAGGAATGATTAGGGCTAGGTGCTGTTCTCTGGAGCCAAGCCAGGAATGCCACTACAGCCCTGTCTGTCCTGGAACTCACAGAGACCCGCTGGCGGCCTCTACCTCCATTTCTTGAGTGCTGGGGTTTTCCATACCTGGTAACATTTTCATAATAACAACAACAAAGAGGCCAGGCATGGTGGTCCGTGCCTTTAACACCAGCACTCAAGAAGGCAGAGGCAAGAGGGTCTCTGTGAGTTCAAGGCCAGACTGGTCTACGTAGGTGAGTTCCAGGACACCAGCCAGGCCTACATAGACAGATCCTGTCTCAAAAGAGCCAAACCATGCTTAACCAACCAAACAACAATAACAACAAAACTATAAGAGAAAAGAAAAAGAAAGAAAGAAAAAAAGGACAAAACTATAAGAGAACATGAAGATTTGGGGCTGGGATGTCCACAGCTCAGTGGTAGAGAACTTTTGCCCAGAATATATAAGTCCCTGTGTTTGATCCCCAATATCAAACTAAGAAGGAAGAAGGGGGTGGGAAAGGAGGATTTTTACTGAGACATTTCCATGGTTTACAGCAAATGTTGCTTGGGTTCAAAGGCATGAGTGCCGCTCCATAGAAGAAAGATGCCTTTCCAGAAGAGCTTCAGTGCTCCGGAGTGTGATGTAACCATTCCTCTGGTTTATTGCAAGCTTCAAGGTGAGCATCTGGATTTTCCTGTTTATCAAGGAAGTGGGACTCATCATTATCATTATCACTGTGACTGCCTTATCAGCTCCATCAAGGAGAGGGCTATTGAAACAGACAATTACTGCTAACCTCCCATGAACCAAGGCATCGGGTAGTTACAAAACACTGTGGGCATATAGGTCACTCTGTTCCCTCCCCCTTGGTGTGCACACACTCTGAAGGTTTTGATGGTAAAGGAAAAGTACTCGGTGCTCTTCTTAGTGGGCCGAGAAGACTACGGCTCCTGCCTTAGATCACAAACAAAGCTATTAGAATTCCTGATCTCAAACCCTGGCAGATTGCACCTCCTCTACTACATGGTCACCCTTGATCTTTGTAACTTCCCCCATGCTCACCCCTCAGTTACTGAGGCCCACAGTTACTCAGATGTGTTTAACCAAATTGTCATCAAACATTTGTGAAGTAAAATCCATCAGTAAAGCTCATTGGTTTGACTTTATTTGGGGGTGCAAAGGATTAAACCCATGGTCTTCTGTGTGCTACGCAAATGCTCTACCACTGAGCCACCACCCAGGCTGACAGGAATACATCAGGACCTGACACCTTTTTTTGTGCACCTACCAGGTGAAGCAAGCTTGAACCTGAGGCCTTGTACATGCCAGGCAAGTGCCCTACCACCAACCTACGTCTCCAGATCTGTTTTCTAATTTTTATTTTGAAATGGTCTTCCTAAGTTGTTCCAGC